CCCCCCCCCCTCCGACGCCGCCTCTGTATTTCCCGGCGAGTTTCCATGGCGGAAGCCGCCGATCCGGGGGTTTTAAGAAAGAGGGTGAATCTCAATTTTTGATTGATAATAAAGTAAATTTTCAAAATGTTTTGAGACGAAATTCCAGAGGAAAATAATACTCCGAGGAAGAGAAATAAGAAGACCGAGACGATAAAAGAGCTCTATTTAAAACCTCACGCGTCAACGCGCAGACCAATGCGCGTGGAAAAACAACGCAGTGAAAGGAAAACTCTCCCATCAGCAATTACAGCATCTCAACCTCACGTACGAGAACACTGTATAAGTGTCATACTCACCAATCTCTCCTGATTGGAGAGTGTACGTCACGCGCTTCACTGGGTTTCGTTATTTTAGGCACTCCATTCATGTTTTCTTAATTAAAAAAAAATTAAATAATAAAAATAACATTTTATTTTCTTTTATATTGTTGTTGTGGGTCTCGTGGGGTAGGGCTTCCTTTGTCCGTTTCTTCCCTTTTCATTTCTTTTATAAATATTTATTTCATTTTTTTATTATAATAAAGTCATAATTTGATCCTTTATTTTATTTATTTTATAAAAAAAAAATCTTTGGAAATGATTTCTTTAATAAAGTCATAAAATTTCTCCAATTTCATTTTTCCTTTTTCTTATTTTTTAATAAATCGGAAAATAATATTTAACGTTAAAATTAGCATTATTCGTTTAAAAAATTAATGGTATATTATTAAAAAAAAATTAGAAGTATATTATTGGTATTATGATATTAAAAAAATGTGTCAAATCAAATAAAAGTTGGTTATAAAATCCTACAAATATGATGACGTTACAATTTCTCATCCAATTATTATTTTAAAATAATTATTTATATATTATTTAAAAGTAGAAATATAAAACTTTTTATACGAACCTATACTTTTTTGGTATAAACACCAATTTTGACAAAATGAAATATAACTAAAATAGCAATGAGATCTTTTATGATGAAAATAGCAACATTTATTGAGGATACCTTATTGCCACGTGAATTGCAAGTGGCTTTCAAATTACTTTTTAATAAAATTACTTTAAACTTATTTATTATATTATTTAAAAACTTACATTTTTTTTATTATATTGTTCACCGAAAATTCCAACTTAAAAAACTGAGTTGGTTCATAAGTTGACATTTTGCCCAACCAACAAAAAAAAATTAGGGTTATAACCCAACTCATATTAGTAAAAAGTTGACGAGATTTTAGTTATTAGTGTAATATGTATGGTAAATAAGTAGAATTTTATTAAATAATTTAATAAAAAAAACAAATTGATTATCCAACTTAATCCGGTCTGAAAAATATAGGGTTAAATTGGGTTGTGAACTCTATTCACAGTCACCCATATAAGCAACCTAAAATTTTGGATTGTGGTATTCTATTTTACGCCCAATAAATAAATAAATAAAATATATTAATATTTTTTAACTTTTGAAAGTTTTAATATATTAAGATTCGGTAGTGAAATAAGAGGAAGGAAATGACTATATTACCCTTAAAAGGGACATAAAAAAGATGATTATGTAGAAGAAACAAGAAAGCCAATGAAATAGAAATATGGTAATAGGTAGATTTAGAACTAATCTTTGGTAGGATGTCTAAAATAGTACTTTCATAATTATCTTCTCTCTTTTTTCAAGTAAAAAATATTAATTGTTTATAAAAAAATATAGGCTCCTAAATGGAATTGCATAAATATAAACAATGGTAGATTAGCCTTTAATTATTCTACCAAACAAAAAGTGTTTTAGATAATAATCACGATTAGACAACACCATTAACTTATAATACCATCTAAATATAAATCTTTAAATAATTAAAAAAAAAAGAACCATGTGATAACTAAACCTAACCCAACCCAACTCGAAAATAGAGGGTTAGATTGAGTTGGGTTAGCAACTCGAACCTAACACAACCCAACTCGAAAATAGAGGGTCAGATTGAGTTGGGTTATGAACTCTGTTCGAGTTGGTGTCGTCACCTATCTAGCTAATTTAAAATTTCGGGTTCGTCCTTGAATAAGAGTGGTTAAATGGAGAAGATGGAAGGTGGGAGTTAGTAGGAGCCCTAATTGTAATCCACCTGCCTTTGTTGGCTGAAAATTGGAAGGCATTAAGGCATTAAGGCAGATAGATAGGACACTTTTTTTCCCCTAAATTGACTCCTCATTAACAAATCCCAACCATTAGAGACAGATTTATTTATAATACTCTTAAATATTTCACTTTTTAGTTACAAATAATAAATAAAAACTACTTTAACCTAGTTTTTGAAATTTTATTAGAATGGCTATTGACGATTTTGACCCCACGAGGTTGGGCCGACATGTTAAACTGGGCTTTAACAACACTCATTCGGCCCATGAGATCAAGCCTACGTAGACCCATAAGCTCCATGGACTGAAGAAGCCCATTCTTCTTCTTCTTCTTTTTTTTTACAAGAAATTTAAAATTATTTCTGCCAGCTGTCACCATAAAAATGCCTGCATATTATTCTTGATTTCAATAATATTAAATTTAAATATCATAAAATACTAACGTTTGTAAAAAATGTATATATATTTTTTTTCTAATTCTTAAAAATTTAAAAATTAAAAAATAGACCAACTTCAAACGCAAAATTATTGAGGTTAGATCCAGGGAAAATCTTTTAGACCAACTTCAAATTTTGGTTTAATTGAATTGATGTTCCGAGTAATGTGGATAGAGTTCACAACCGAACCCAATTTTTTATTTTCGGGTTTGAGTTAATTTTTTTAATTATTGAAAAAAACTCAACTACGGTCCATGTTAAATTAATAACTAAAATTTCATTAAAATGTCAAATAGTCACCTGGTTGGATTGACCCGACCAAAATAAAATACTTTTTTTTTTTAAGAATTCAATGAAATAGAATTGAAAACATAAAAATGTTGGTAGCCTATCATTAAATTCCACGATTTGTTATAATTTCTGATTTAGAAATAGCATTATATGGGACGCACCGCATGAATTCAGCTCCACACCTAAGAAAATCTTAATCATGGCCTCGGCCCATTATGATTGTTATTAATTGGGCTTCTCTCTGTTATTGGGCTCTGATTCAAGAAAAGAAGTAGGGCCCATCACCGTACATGTCGACTAGATTACCAAAGAGAAAGACACGTGTACGGCAATGATGAAGTAGCTGACATTATCCATGATTAGCCTACAGTAGAAATGCCGTAAAAAGTAGTGATAGAGAGAGAATCATCTTTTATAAATCCGGTTTCTTTTATTTATTAAAGTGAGGGATAATAATCATAGGAAAAATAAATAAATGAATAATAAATTAAGGGGAATATTGGCCATCCACTAATTTATTTACCGCGCGGTCATAATTGCAACTTTGGTCGCTTATTTCCTTTAAGATTTTTAAAAAAGAAAAAAAAAGTAGTGAGAGAGAGACTTTTTTACCTTATCTATTATTTTTATTATATAAAATAAAAAATTAAGTATCGGGTTAGCGTGGCCCAACTTAGAAAGGAAAAGCCCAACAAAGAAAGTAAAACTAATATAAAGAATAAATATATATTATATATAAACGCCCACCGTGGGGTTCGAACCCACGACCACAAGGTTAAGAGCTTTGCGCTCTACCAACTGAGCTAGACGGGCTTGTTAATATGACTTATAAAATATTTTATATATTTATTATTTAAGCAATTATTTAAGCATTGACAATTGAAAATTTTATTGACTAATTCAAAATTTAGGTGGTCATTATTTCCATAATTACATATGCATTCAAACGAATTTAACTTCTTAAAAAGAAACAAAAATCACTACTTTTTTAATATTAATTAGGTAAAATGATTTAATTAAATAATAATAATAACTAAGCTTTTATCACTCCATCAGTTGCAGTTGCTGGAATGTATTGCCCAAGTTTGCGAATTTATGCAATCTGCTCTGTCCCGTTGAGCGACGACTCAGATGAACGCAAAGCACGTAAATTCAAGAAATTCATCCAATTTTGATGCTCGCTTCCGAGCTAAAAATCTTCTTGAACAAACCTGTAAATGTAAAGCAGGCAGCTCAGATTCATGCCCACATTCTCGTCAATGGGCTTCGAAATCTCGAGTCTTGCTTGGTCCGTCAAATTACTCGTTCTGAGTTCACTTGCGCCAGAATCGTATCCCGTTATCTCCAACGGATCCTTCGTCATTCGCAAAACCCAGATTCCTTCTCATGGGGCTGCGCCGTTCGGTTCTTTTCCCGGAACGGCCAATTCATGGAAGCAATCTCCCATTATGTTCAGATGCAGAGATTGGGACTGCATCCGAGCACCTTTGCTGTATCCTCGACTTTGAGAGCTTGCGGTAGGATTATCTGTAAGTTTAGTGGGAGCTCTGTTCACGCTCAGGTATATAAACTGGGGTTTTGTCGCTGTGTTTATGTGCAAACTGCCCTTGTGGATTTTTACTCAAAATTGGGTGATATGGGTTTTGCTCGGAAGGTGTTTGATGATATTACTGAGAAAAATGTGGTTTCGTGGAATTCAATCTTGTCTGGTTATGTGAAAATTGGAAACTTAGATGACGCTCAGAAAGTGTTCGATGAAATGCCTGTGAAGGATGTCATATCTTGGAATTCAATGTTGACGGGATTCGCCAATTCTGGCAATATGGATCGAGCGTCGTGTTTATTTCAACAACTGGGGGAAAGAAGTTCCGCTTCTTGGAATGCAATGATCAGTGGTTACGTGAACTGTGGAGACATGAAGTCTGCAAGAAACATGTTTGATGAAATGCCTAACAGAAATAATGTTTCCTGGATTACATTGATTGCTGGGTATTCGAAGCTTGGGGAGGTTGGTTCTGCTTGTGAGCTCTTTAATAATATGGGTGAGAAGGAGATTCTCTCTTATAACGCCATGATTGCT